CTGGTCAAGGGGATAATTTGCATATTAGCCTTTTATTATATAGGATATACACACTGAGTGGCCAGATTATTATGTGTTCAGAGATAATTATTATGCGTTCAGAGATCTTAATAATCTGGCCACTCAGTGTATACCTCTTGCACTCACACCGAGCAGGAGAGCAAAGCCACTGGGTTCAAACACAAGATGGTTTAGGCCAGGGCCGGTGCTTCCACACGCCCACAGAGGCTCCGGTGCTTTGCCCATGCAGCTCAGGACATGCCCCACAGTCCCACGCTGGCCCAGTTGACCCCAGGGGTGACTCATGGAAATGGGGCCCTGTAGGGGCTGGTGGAATGGAGGGCGAATGGAGTGGTCTGTTTCAGCGAGGGGGCACCCCAGCATCCACCCCTCCTGGGTCCCAGCCGCAGGGGACAGGGGAGAATGGAGACAGCGGGACTGGGCCAAGCCGGGCGACTGTGCTTAGGGTGCTGGGTGCGTGGGTGATGACCTTGGCTGTTGTCTCAGGAGCAGTCATGGCACATCCATGGTCAGAAGGGATGATCACTGTTTGTGTCTTTCCAAGGTAGTGATTAAGCAAAAACAGCCTCTATTCCTCAGCTGGCAGGGGGAGCCATGCTGAGCTGGGTGGGCCACCGATCCCAGCACCAGGACTGGCAGGGGTGCTGGAAGCAAGCGTGGTGGTAGCTAGCCCACCTCAAAGCTGTCACAAAATGCTGTCACAAAACAGCTGTGCCTCCTCCTCCCCGCCGCAGCCCATATCTGGGCACACAGGGACCAGCATGAATAGGAACAAGCAGACAGACATGGACAGGACGTAGGCCACCGCCGACATGTGGCTCCCACCGCCCAGGACCCCGGCCAGCGGATCTTGTCACCAGAGGCTCTGGGGAAGCCCCTAGATGCGGAGTTCTAGAATTCCCAGAGGCACCCAGTACCTTTTCCCTCGGGGCTTTTAAGAGAAGTCTTCCCAGTGGCCGATGTTGCCCTGAACCAAATTTCTCCTGGGGCTCGACAGCCCAGAGCTGCCTCCCAGGTGGTGTGCACCCTGGGTCCTCACTTGTAATGATTTTTCACAGAAATGCCACCCTGAGCCCTGGCAGCTACTGCAGCCCGTCTCGGGGCCCCGGGCTGAGGGGAAACAGACAGGTGACCTCACAGCTCCAAGCCTGGTCCCGCTCGCCATGCCCTGGGCAGCCACCTCTGCTGAGGGAGAGCTGACAGGCTCTCCAGAGGCAGTGACAGCTGAGCAGGGCCCTGAGGACAGGTGAGACTTTGCGGGCTGCAAAGGGAGGCAGGGCTTACCAGGCAGAGGGCTCAGGGCAGGCAAAGGCAGGCGCAGGGCAGGAGTGATGTCCTGTGGGTGAGTCAGAGCCTCTGGCCGCAGTGGCTGTGGTGGGATGTCTGGTTCTTAGAAGAGCAGAGAGAGCCTTGTGGGCGATGGACAGGCAGGGGACCTGTGTGGCCTCTCTGCTAGTCTGCAGGGGCTTCTGGGAAGACGGGGACGTACTTTTCTGGTCCTGGCAGTCGGCTCTGTAGGGGCCAGAGCCTAGGTCTGATGGGCTGGGACCCGGCCTCCCATCCCCACCGAGCCAGGAACTGCCTCAGCAGCATTTGCAGCCAGGATACAGCACTTGTCCACCGATTTGATGCCCAGAGCATCACTTGGGCCCCAAAGGAGCTGGGCTTCACAGCAGTGAGCCAGGCCGGTCAAGGATGTGGGTGCGCCCCCGTCTGTGTAATCAGTGAGGGTGCAGGATGCAGCCCCCACCTCATGGGGGGCTCAGTGCCCGAGAGATGGCAGGACCCTCCTGTCTTCCCTGGGACTTATTTATAGCCTCGCTGTGGCAATTTGTGGCAATCACAGTATTTATCCTGTAATCACACGGCACGCAGGCTCCCCGGTGCAAGCAGGCACCCAGCCCAGCGAGGCCCGGAGCCTGCCAAGCTCAGGGAGGACCTGGGGACAGGCAGAGGAGTGAAGGCGGCAATGTCCCCATCAGCCTCCGGCCCCATCTTTTTTTTTTTTTTTTTTTTTTTTTTTTATATTCTTTTATTGCTTTTAGAGAGAGAGAGGAAGGTAGAGGGAGGGGGGAGAGAAAAACATTGATGAGAGAAACATGGATTGGCTGCCTCCTACACACCCCCTACTAGGGATTAAGCCCCAAACCTGGGCATGTGCCCTGACCTAGAATTGAGCCAGCAACCTCTCAGTGCGTGAGACAATGCTCAACCAACTGAGCTATACCAGCCAGGGTTGGCCCCATCTTATCAGCTAAGCCCCCCAATTCACCGTGGATGATAATAGTAATTATGATAACAATAATAATCACACACATGGCGTTTACTGTGTTCCAGTTCCCATTCTAAGCCCTTCCTGTGCATGACCTCGCTGATCCTCATCACCATTGTAGGAGGTCACCACTATTATTATCCCCATATTCCAGATGAGAAAACGGAGGTGCAGGTATCACAGCTGGTAAGAGCCAAGATTTGAACGCAGGTGTTCTGGCTCCAAAGGCCATGATTTCCAACGGGTCCTTCCAGCCCCAGATCAGGGCCCTCCCAGGCTCCACACTCACAGACTCACCTGGCTTCTCCCGGGCCGCCTGCCCTTCAGCAGCACCCGGGGCTGCACACACAGAGCCACGCCCGGCTTCCCTCCTGGCCTCTTCCTCTCCTGCTGGTGAACTGGTCCCCATGGCAGACGGGGCCTCCGTCCCCGGGGTGTCGCGTATGGATTTGTGCTCCTGTTTCTTCTGCAGAATGAGGAGCTCCGTGTCCACCTCCCCAGGAAGCCGTGGATATCAGATGGATGAGGGAACACTTTGTCAAGCATTGTCCTCTGTTGAGTGTGGGGCACTCTTTGCTGGGCTCATGTGCCAGCTCGCTCAGTCTTCTCAGTTGTGTGGCCAGGGACTTAGGTTGTTTGAGCCTCAGTTTTCTCATCTGTAAAATGGGGTGATCACAAGAGGACCAAAACCCAGAAGTTACTTGTGGGCACTAATGAGATGATCCCTGTGCAGCACACAGTGCCTGGGACATACATCATCAGTCAAACAGAGCCATCTTCTGCTGTCGTTCATTTTGATGCTGTCCCGAGAGCAGGGCCCAGGTGTCCTCTGGCCAGGTCCAGGGCGAGGTCAGGATGTTAGAAATAGGGCAGGAGAGTCAGAGCCCCTAGAAGGAGCATTAGGAAGCGCTGGGCAGAGCCAGGCCTCAGAACAAGTTTTTCCTCTTCCTCCTCCAAGCCAAAGCCCTCCATCACTTACAAAATGATTTCCTGTCTGTGTGGGCGGCAGCTCCGAACTCATAAAGCAGTTGCCCTTAGACCAGGGCTGTGCCTGGGAGGACAGATGATTTAAAAATGCACTTCCCTGCTGAGCAAAGCTCTCTGGGGATTCCTGGCAGATGCACCCTTCCCCGGGGCCAGGAGTGGATGAGGAGATGATGACACAGGCATGCGTTGGCCAGGCTCCCACCCACACCGGCCCACCTGCCGCAGGGTTGCCTGCAAAGCCCCCTGGGAAGGACCCTCCCCAAATGTGCTTCCTAGGAGGGTGCAGCAGGCTCTCGGCAGGCATAGGGGTAAAGTGAGAAGAAGGAAAGGTCCATCCTTGCCTAGAACCGGCTGCTTTAAGAGATGAACTTCCTGTCATTGAAGGCAAACAAGTGGTCCACAGTCCAGCTGCGAGGCTCAGCCACACAGAGAAGGGAGTATCCGTCTCAAGGGGAGCAAGGTCAGCTGGATGAAAGGAAGGACTCCTCACTCTCTTATAGGCAGTGAGGGAGCTGGCTGCTGGATGTCTCTGAGGTCTCTCTGCACCTGAGAGTCCAAAGCAGTGATATTCAGGCATTAGATCAGGGGCCAGCAAACTTTCCTTTAAAGGGCCAGATAGTAAATATTTTAGGCTTTTCGGGCTTTAAAGTCTGTGGCACATAAGCAGCCACAGATAATACGCAGATGAATGGGCATGGCCATGTTCCAATAAAACTTTATTTATAAACACAGGCAATGGGCCAGATTTGGCCCATGAGTGTAGTGTCTGTGTTGGAGGAAAGAGAGATCAGGGAGGGTTGGATGCCAAGAAGCACTTCCTGAAGGTGGGGGCGTTGAGCCAGGCAACTGGGGGAGCAAGGAGAACATTTCTGGCAGCGCTGGCTCCCCTCACAGCTCGAGGGGAAGAGTGGCCATGAGTGTGGCCCCCAATGCTGGCCTTGTCTCTCTGAGGAGCCGTCTTCCCTGCACAGGGTTCCCATAATTCAAGGCCTCTGACAGCTTCAAACATATTCAGTTTTTTAAAATTCAGCAACTGTGGTCCGTTTAAAAAAAAAAAAAAAATATATATATATATATATATATATATATATATATATATAAAATATATATATATATTATATATATAATATATATATAATATATCTATATATTATATATATATATTTGTGTGTGTGTGTGTGTGTGTCTAGGTTTTTTAAATTGATTTCAGAGAGGAAGGGATAGAGAGAGAGAAATATCAATGATGAGAGAGAATCATTGACTGGCTGCCTCCTGCACGCCCCACACTGGGAATGGAGCTCACAACCCGGGCATGTGCCCCGACTGGGAATTGAACCATGACCACCTGGTTCATAGGTCATCGCTCAACCCCTGAGCCACGCCGGCCGGGCTGTGGTTGTTTTCAGAAGGATGCTCGGCCCACATTTCCGTCTAATACAGGAAGTGGAGGCCATCGGACGACCCTGACGCTGCTGCTGTCAGTGAAGGAAAGAGCAGGGCACTGTGGTTCCATCCTAGGGTGGCCCTGCTGGCCCCTGGGACAGCACCGTGACTCGGCCTCGTCCTGGTGGGCTTCCGCTCTATTGGAGGAAAAAGGGTTTCACGTTGTGTTTGGCTCGGAGGCCAGGGCTGGCCAGGGTGCCGCCCTAGCTCCCACGCTATGGCTCCACGGCCCATGGGCCCAGCCTCCCGCGGCTGAGCACTGCTCTGTTCCCCGCAGGAGAGCTGTACCGGGTGTCCTTGAGAAGACAGAAGTTCCCGGCCCAAGGAAGCATTGAGATCCACGAAGACAGTGAGGTAGGTGGCTTTCCCAGGCTGCCTGGGCCCAGCTGTGTGCTCAGGACGTCAGGCAGAGTCCGGTGCACAGGCTGCCCAGTTCCATCCGGCTCACCAGGCTTGCTGTGTGACCCTGGGCAGCATCCCCTCCTGCCCAGGCTTCTGGCTCTCATGTGAACAAGCATGGCCTCCAGAGGTCCCTCCAGCCCTCTTGGCAGCCTGTGCCCCTCATCATATGGGGGCTGGGGAAGTCCCCGACCTGGAGCTGAGGCAGGCTGGGCACAGTGCCCGCTTCTCTGGCTGCAGCCCCCCCGCCTCTCCCCCCCCACCCCCGTGTGTGTGTGTGTGTGTGTGTGTGTGTGTGTGTGTGTGTGTGTTTCATTGTGTTACCTTGTCCTCCTGCTGCCTGACTCTCTGTCCCCACCGATGTCCCTTCCAGGAAGTCTTCTCACAGCGCTCCTGCAAGACGCAGGTCCTGCTGCTGGTGCTGCACGGGGGCAACGTCCTGGACACGGGCTCGGGGGACCCCTCCTGCAAGGTGGCCGACATCCACACGTTCAGCTCCGTGCTGGAGAAGGTCACCCGCGCCCACTTCCCCGCGGCCCTGGGCCACATCCTCATCAAGTTTGTCCCCTGTCCTGCCATCTGCTCCGAGGCCATCTCGCTGGTCTCCAAGTGAGTCCCTTTCTGCTTGTTGGGACTGGCTGGCGCTGGTGGTGGTGGTAAGTGGGGAGACTGCCCCCCACCATGTGGGCACTGATGGGCAGGGGCATACATCCCCAGGCCTCTCTGGGATGCCAGGTCCTGGCTGACCACGAGCATCATGTGGGAGGGGGTCAGCAGAGTCCTTGGCAATGAGCCCTGTACACCGTGTCCTCCTCTGCCAGGACCAGATCCACTTCCTGTGCTCACAGGCCATGGTCTCCTGGGCCCAGGCAAGGGAGCTGAGGCACTGAGAGGTTAAGCAAGGCCACTGCCCCCAGGGCCACCCAGTGAATGGAGCCGGGAGTCAGCCCTGGGCAGCCTCACTCTCAGGCCCCGTCATTAGATCCCCGTAGGGGTGTGTGTGCTCTAACGGAAGTGGCACAGGGCACCAGGGACCCTCAGGAAGAGGGCAGGGCGGCGCCCGGGGGAGCTGGCTTTGGGGTGTGCTGTGGGAGTAACATAGCATGGTTAAGGGTGCGGGCTCTTCGGTCAGCCCGGATGTGAGCTCCAGCTGTGTGACCTGGGGGAAGGCAGTTAGCTTTTCCCTGCTTGTTTCCTCGTCTGTACCGTGGGGATACTCTGGGGAATAACCCCCAGATTTTCCGAGGCGTCTATGTGCCAGCCTAGGCGTGGGGCACTTGGGAAGCACACGTGGGGTGTGCTGTGACTCACACCCTGTCCTCACAGGGAGAGAGCGCTCTCCCATTGGTGCACAGGGGCTGGGGAGGGCAGTGTGTCTGACTGCCGTCAGAGAACCGGAGGGCTGGGATCAGGCAGCAAGCTTACCAGGCCTGGGCTCCTCATCCAAACCTGGGGGATTAACAGGGAGACCAGAGGCCCCCCAAGACCCGGGGACCCGTGGGAGGTCCTGCTCACCGCCCCAGGGCCCTGCCCTGTAGGAACACAGCTAACGCGGGCACACAGGCGGCGCCTGCAGGGCACGGGTCTGATAGAGCACGAGGCAAACGGGCTGGCAGCTGAGAGCTTGGACCAGTTAGGAGTGAAGGGGAGGCCGGGCACCTCTCTCCTGCCCTCGCTCCCTTCATGTCCACTCTGCCAGCACCCAGGGCCTCAGAGAGGAGCCCTTTGCCATGTGGGGCTCGGGCAGGGCGGGCAGGGCGGGCAGGGCGTCCCAGCCCCCCCCCCCGCCCCCCTCAGCTGTGGCCCAGGCAGGGCTCAGCAGTGCTGGGAGGGAGGAGGGGTGCCCAGCATCCTGCGGGTGGGGAGCACCTGTGCAGGGCGTGCAGGCCTCCCTCCTCTGGTCTCTGAGAGAAAGGGAAGTTGGTGTCTGCAGGGGAGGGGATGAGAGGGGTGGGGAGGGGGACAGGGGAGCAGACACCTGTCTGATTGATTGATCTGTGCTCCAGGTCAGGGCAGGGCCCATCTCAATCAGAGTGGCAAGGAAGGAAGGCGATGGGGTCCCTTGTTCCCCAGCCCGGCGAAGGGCTCCCATCCCCGTGTGATGCTTGTGAAGCCACAGGGTGGCAGGCCTCACCCCGAGAGAGGGCCCTGGGCTCTGCTTCTTCCGCAGACGAATCGGCCGCGTCTGCTCTGCGGCAGGACCCGGGAGCCGGGCTGGTGTGGCTCCTTCACACTCCAGCAGCCAGAGTTAATTGGGCTCATTCACAATCAGTCGCAGGATTCCCCCAAACCCCGCACCCCCAGGACATCTGACCCCCAGAGCTGGGTGATCCAGCACAGGCCTGATGGCCAGTAAGATGGATAGCCTGGCCACTGGAGGGGACAGCGGGAGGGAGTGTCCGCCCCCCCCCCCCCCCCAGGCAGCGCCTTGCCAGCCCATCCATCAGCCCTAATCACTGCTGGGAGAGAGCTCTTTCTCGGCTAATTAAAATCTCTCCGCTGCCATCGAGGCCTGTTTCCTCTCATTTGTGTTCTTTGGAGATGAGGGATGGTTGTTGGGCCGGACTGGCACGCCCTGAGGTCTCTGTCACCTGCCCAGGGTCCCTGAGCCCTGCCGCCTGTCCCCGGTTTCAACCTCAGGCAGCCTGAGCTTAGGCCATGGGGAAAGGGCAGGGGCTGGGCAGCCGTTGGGCAATTCCTCCCCGTGTGGCCCCTGCTGGCAGCTGGGTCCATTGCCCCAGGGGACAGAGGCAGGACAGGTGTGTGGGGGGGAAGGTTGGGGCAGGGGTGGGCAGCTGGACCATGGGCACACTATCGAGCACACAGCTCAGTGCCCACCCCAAGCTGCAGCATGCCTGGCGACCCTCTCTCTTCCTTTTGACTTTCCCCGAAAGCCTTCCGGGAGACCTACCCGTATTTTCCAGCGTATAAGATGACTTTTGAAACGAAAAACACTGTGTTCTAGTAAAAAGCCTGCTCAGATTGGCCAGAGTCAGAGAGGCGGTCTATTAAAAAAAGAAGTGGTGTTGCCTCGGAAGTGGGGGGTAGTCTTATACAGCGAATATAGGCCTAAACCTATGTTTTAACTGTAAAAATTAGGGGGTCGTCTTATACACCGGAAAATATGGTAGTCAGACCCCCACCTGCTCTGGGAAGTCTGTCAGGATGATAGGCCCCATCCACATCCACACCAGTGGCGTCTTTCGTGATGGGGGTTCTTTGGTGCCCTGCAGAACAGGGCAGGAGAGAGGGACGCTGTCACAGGAGACTCCAGGGCCCACATCACAGGCTGGCACGGGGTGGGCGCAGGGGAGCCTGGAGGGGAGGGCCCCGTTCCTGGTCAGCACATGCTCTCTCCTGCCCAGTCCGAAGCCTCTAACCCGCCTCCTGCCTGACCCCGGCTGGGCTTACCTTGGCCCCCTGTCCGCAGCCTGAATCCCTGCAGCCATGATGAGGGCTGTCTCAGCAACAGCCAGGACCACGTCCCTCTGGCCGTGCTGCCCCTGTTGGCCATCTCCTCCCCACAGTACCAGGATGCGGTTGCCACCGTCATTGAGCAAGCCAACCAGGTCTACGCAGAGTTCCTCAAGTCCCCGGATGGCATCGGCTTCAGTGGGCAGGTAGGACGGCTGCCCCCACCTCCCTGCCTTCACCCCGCCTGGAATGAGGCTTGAATCTGCCCAAAGGATCTAGACCAGGCTGCTCAGGAGCCATGGTGTCTGAGATCCAAGAAGGCTTTTAAAATCTTTGGGTTTGGTCTTATTTTACAGATAGGAAGAGTGAGGCCAACATCTGAGTTCTGATTGTGAGCCCATGCTAAGCCCTGGCCCATGCCTGATCCCTGGCTTCAGGCTGACCCTGGCCTCAGTCTGACCCCTGGTCCCCAGCCTGGTCCTGTCCTCAGTTGACCCTGGCCCCAGTCTGACCCCGCACCCTGGCCTGACCCTGTCCTCAGGTTGACCCTGACCCCAGTCTGACCCCTCACCCTAGTCTAGTCCTGTCCTCAGCTGACCCTGGCCCCAGAATGTGCACCCCTTCCCTAATGCAGCCCTCTCAGGCCTCCTGGGACTGGCTCCTTGTTATCCAGGAGTGCTGGATGCATTGGGGTGAGGGGGCAGCGGTGGCCAGGCCTGCAGTCCCAGCTGTGCCTTCTGCAGGTGTGTCTCATCGGGGACTGTGTGGGGGGCCTCCTGGCCTTTGACGCCATCTGCTACAGCGCGGGGCCCTCGGGCGACAGCCCTGGCAGCAGCAGCCGGAAGGGGAGCGTCAGCAGCACCCAGGTGCGGGCCCGAGGGTGGGAGCGGTGGAGGGTCTGTCCTGGGGAGCGGGGGCCTCTCGGTGGGCAGTACTGTGAACCCGTGAAATCCAGGTCACGAAGTATATATTGTGTCGCAATCTTACAGGAATAGCAAGAGATTACTATCACAGGGGAGGAAACTGAGGTCCAGGGGGGCTAATTTGGGGTTGGGCCCCCAGGTAGCTGCCCCGAGTCCCACTAACTCGCCAATCCTTCTGGGGGCAGAGGACAGCCCTGTGACTAGACTCCCATCACTACCGTGTGGTGGCTTTCAAGCTTCTTTTGGAAGATGCACTGCCTCTCACGTCTAGGAGAAAGGGGTTCCTTGTGCCTGGGGAGGAGGTAGCGCCCCAGAGTCCCACCGTGACCGCAGTGCCCTCCTGCCCTCTCCTCGGTCCCACAGGACACCCCCGGGGTGGAGGAGGAGTGCAGTCTGGCCAGCAGCAAGCGGCTCAGCAAAAGCAGCATTGACATCTCCAGCGTGTTGGAGGATGAGGAGCCCAAGAGGCCGTTGCCACGGAAACAGAGCGATTCCTCCACCTATGACTGCGAGGCCATCACCCAGCATCATGCCTTCCTATCAAGGTAACCATTCCCCATGTCCCTTCTTCCTTCCTGCAAAGCATCCAGAGCAGAGAGCACCTTGGCTTAGAATCCTCGGGGTGGCTTAGGACCAATCACACATCCCAGGTCTTTCCTGGGGCCCCCAGAGACAAGCCTGAGCCCAAGGCTGCTCCCCATGGGCCCTGGGCTGAGACCCTGGGCCCTGGACTCTGTCTCTGCTGCACCCCAACTTTCAGAGGGAGGGGATAGCCATCCCTGAGCCTCAGGGTCATCTTCTGCAACTTGGCACATGCTGCCCAGCCTGCTTTCCTGGCGTCTTTAAGAATCTGGTGGAAGAACAGGTATATTGTGTGTTTTGTGAGCAACTCCAGGCGTGTGTTCTGACTGTTTCTCAGACGAGGAAGTGCAGGCGAAGTCAGTCAGGAAGGTTCCTAGGACCACACAGCCAGGGACGAGAGCTGGGCTCAGCATGGGTCCCCCAGCCTCCAGGACACAGCACACTTTCCTCGTCAGTCCCAGGGCCTCCATGGAACCGCCTGCCCTCGAACCTTCTAGAAGGGTCATGGTCATCGACACCGGCTAACTGAACTGTCTGCACATTACTCAGGAGACACGTGGGTATTGAGCATAGTCCCACCTCGGAAGGAACGCCTCTTCCCTCACTCCTCAGTTCTCTCCTCCGTCGCTCCCTCCTCCTTTCTTACCCCAGTGACAAGTAGCAGGAGGCCAGCTCAGCACTTGGGAAGCAGATCATCTCAGCACCCAGAGGGAGCCAGGGCTAATGTTGGGGTTATTTTCTTTCAGTATTTATATATTTCACATGCCTTGCAATTGGTTTTACTTTAAAAAACACACACACCTACCCTTATAGTGTGATCTTTCCCCCATATAATTAAAAGTACTTGGTAGAGCCCTAGCTGGTTTGGCTCAGTGGATAGAACGTCAGCTTGTGGACTGAAGGGTCCTGGGTTCAATTCCAGTCAAGAGCACATGCCCAGATTGTGGGCTCAATTCCCATTGGGGAGTGTGCAGTGGGCAGCCGATCAGTGAGTCTCTCTCATCATTGATTTCTCTCTCTCTCTCTCTCTCTCTCTCTCTCTCTCTCTCTCTCTCTCCCTTTCCCTTTTCCTTTCCCTTTCTCTCTGAAATCAATAAAAACATATTTTTAAAAATAATAAAAATGCTTGGTAGATAGTCTTAACAACATTTTATTGAGTAAACGGACACACTTACTTAATCCCAGTCATTGGATGCTTTGGCTTTTTCCAATTCTTCAAAATTATAAATAGCGCCCTGGTGACGACCTTTGTGCATCAACACTCATGTGCATATTAGGGCTGTTTTGTTTGCGTGGATTCCTGAAGGAGGGATTGTTGGGCCAGAGGCTCTGCGTAGCTAAATCTCTGGCTACTTAAAGCCCCTCTGCCCAACGATTCTTTACAAGAAAAGCAGTTATGTTTCATGTCCGGGCTGCGAGGTAAAATCTCCACATTTCTGGCTCATCCTTTAAGAAAACCCCACGTTTGGGGAGTGACAAGAAGCTGGAGGCTTTCCGAAGCTGGTCCGACGCAGCTCGCTTTTCCCTCTGGTGCAGGGACAGATGGCAGTTTTGTTAGCAATTAAGTAGTTGGCGTGTGGTTAGGGACCACGCTGTACGTGAAATACGTGTGGTTAAACACCAGTCATTGTCCCCACGGGGAGACGTTCACACCGCCAGAGGCAGAGGCGTGTGGCAGGCAGGACCCTCACTCACACGCTGTTCCAACGGAGATTCCTAAAATCCCCTCTCTCTCTCCCAACGGGAGTATGTCCGACGAATCTGTGTTCTATGGATTGATTGGTCCATCACGTAATCCCATGGGGTTATCTTCGACTCAAGGCTGCCAGCTGAAGGTCAGGGAGGGCCTCCGTGTTCCTGCCCTCCCAGGGCAGCCTGCTCATCAGCTCGCACTCTCTGGGGGTAATGGGTGCCTGAGATGCGAGTGATTGGAACTCTGTGTCTTGCCGTTTTCTCTTTAAGCTCTGCTTCATCGGCATGCTGGTTGGAAGGGAGGACCGAGCTGTGTGCATCTGTGTCTGTGGGTTGCCTGGAACATGAGTTACAAACGAGAGCCCTAATCTGGCAGGGCTGACACCGCCCAGCTGGTCTGCATAGTGGCCAGCTGGGCTTCTCCGGTAGCGGGGGGCAGGGATTCAGTGTGGCCATCACAGAACCGGCACGAGGGGCAGGTCTGTGGTCCGGGGGACACTCAGTGGTCTCAGGTTCTCGGCCAGATGCTGTGGCTCCAGGTTCACTGACCTTGCGGACTTGTTGAGGTGTCATCGGCGGCTGCTTGCATGCCACACGGCGGAGTTAAGTAGATGTGATGGAGACCATATGGCCCTCAAAGTCTAAAATATTTACCATCTGGCCCTGGACGGAAACAGTGGGCCGATGACCTCTGCCTTAGCCAAATGTTAGCCAGGCCTCGGTGGCCAACGCTGAGAGGTTGCCAGCTTGTGTGGACGGCATCCAGCGAGTAGACTCTGGTTCTGGGCTCTGCCCCAGAGGTGGAGGGCTGGGCTCCCCGTACCCAGTCTTGAAGCCGCCCTGCTGAGCGAATGCTTCACTTCCACGGCCCTTCCCTAACCCGCCGCCTCTGTCTCCCCCGCTCCCTCCCCAGCATCCACTCGAGCATGCTGAAGGATGAGGCCGAGCCCCGGGCGGTCAGCCTGGGCCGCCTGGACTTCGACGTGTCTGACTTCTTCCTCTTCGGCTCGCCCCTCGGCCTGGTCCTGGCCATGCGGAGGACGGTGCTGCCCGCGCTGGACGGTGGGTGTGGCACAGCCCGGGGCTGAGGTGCCTTTGGGTCACAGCCCACTGTGTCAGGGCCTCAAACTGGGGGCAGGGAGAGGCTGGGTCACAGAGCTGGGGTAGGTCAGTGGTTGGCAAACTGCATCTCACGAGCCACATGCGGCCCTTTGGCCCCTGGAGTGTGGCTCTTCCACAAAATACCACGGTCTGGGTGAGTCTATGTTGAAGAAGTGGCATTAGAAGAAGTTTAAGTTTAAAACATTTGACTCTCCAAAGAAATGTCAATCGTTGTACTGTCGATAGTTGGCTCTGTTGACTAATGACTTTGCCAACTACTGGGGGTAAATGGACAGAGAAGAGAAGGAGGGGGAGGGGAGAAGAGGGAGAAGGGGGTGGTTTTCCAGATGGAGCGAAGGTGAGATGGCCTCTGGTGGATGTAGTGACATCCTTGTCACATGCCCCGGGCTGGCCCGGGGGCCTGTTGTTCAGTTGTCGTGCTCTATGGGAAGAGAAGCCATCACTGTTTGCCCGGTTGCACCACCCTCCCCTCCCCCAGTGCCAGGCAGGCCCACTGCAGCCAGGCCTGCCTCTGTGCCTTTGCTCACGCAGTGCCCGCAGCCTGGAACGCGTCCTCATTCCTCTGAGACACACATGCGGCGGTTAAGCCTTGGTTCTGAGGATGCAAGAGTCTGGAGCCACCTTGGAGATGAGCCCACCTGGGCTTCTCAAACTTCTTTTGTCCCAAAGCTCTCTGACGCCCTACGATACAGAACAGAGAGACAGGGAGGGGCTCTGCGTGAAGTGGGGAGAGAAGGGGGGACCCCATGGCTGCCCTGATGTCACTAAGGAAGCCTAAGGCTCCCTGGATGTGGTCAGTCCAGTCCCCTGACCTAAGAGGGACAGGAAGACGTGCTGAGGGGAAGGAGGCCTCAGTGGAGACACCTGCTGGTCTGTGAGAGAAGGGCACCGCGGCTCCGGCAAACCAAGGACTACCCACCAGGCTAGGAGTTGAGTGGGGCTGGAGGAAGGGGCAGCTGATCCTCTGGAAAAGAGCCTGGGTGGGCTTCACAAGTCAGGTAGCCGCTAAGCGAAAGCTGGGAGGACTGAAAGGGGTTTGGCCGGCAGAGAACAGAGGGCAAAGGGCCTGCTGGGAGGAGGGCAGCTTGAGCCAAGGCCCAGAGAAAGCAAGCCTGCTGGGGTTGAGGGGGGGCGTTCAGATGGCCACCGTGGCGCAGTCTGGGTGCCTACAGCTGTGCTCCCGGGCAAGGCCTCAAATGCCAAACTGAACATGTGGTTTTGGTGCTGGAGGTAGCAGGGAGCCATGTGTTTCATGAGCAGAGGAGCAGGCCACGCAAAGCCATGCTCAGGGAAGCCTTCCAGGGCCGAGTGAGCAGGGACCAACAAGGGGCTCCCCTGTGTCGCTCCCAGGACTCCAGGTGCGTCCGGCCTGCAGCCAAGTCTACAGCTTCTTCCACTGCGCAGACCCCTCCGCCTCACGGCTCGAGCCGCTGCTGGAGCCCAAGTTCCACCTGGTGCCGCCCGTCAGCGTGCCCCGCTACCAGAGGTTCCCGCTGGGCGACGGACAGTCCCTCCTCCTCGGTAGGCTCCTGGGGGGCGAGAGCATGTGCTGAGCCAGAGGCTGGGCCCCGCCAGGCGCCCGCCAGGGTCCCGGTCTCTGGTCCCGCCTCTCCGAGCTTTCAGCTGATGGAGGGACTAGACACAGCTGAGCAGGGGCTGTGTGCTGGGGGCATAGGACAGGCAAACAGCCGGCCCACCTGCTCTCCAAGCAGCCCACCTCTGTAGGAGGCAGCTTGGGGCTCAGAGACCTAAGATCTGCTTTCTGACAAGCTTGCTGGCTGAGCTCCTGGGCCGGGGCCAGCTAATACTGGCGCTGTCAGACCTCATTGGAAGTCCGGGGTCCAGCTGAGCGCTGTTGCCCAGGGCCCAGCCTGCACTGGGGGTGCAGAGCAGCAGGTATCTCATCCCAGCAGGCTTCACGCACAGGGGGCTTTGACCAGGGCTTTTGGGCGGCTGGAGAAGAGCTGGGGGTGGATGTTGGGAGATCTTCTAGGTTGAGCAGAGGCAAGGGCAGGTGGTTTGGGAGAGGCCTGTAATGGACAGTCAGGGCCTTGGCGATGCGGGCCTTGGCTCCACCACCAGAGCCTGTCAGAGGTGTGGACAGATTTGGGGGAGGGGCGGGGGCGGGCTGTATCTGTGGCTCATTTAGGAGGTAAACCACCTCCCACCCATTCTGATGAAAACTCAATTTCCAAAGTCCCGCTTCATCAGGAGCTTCCACCAACCGAAGAGGCTCTAAAACCCCTTTCCCCCCACCCTCCAATGCATCCCTTTTGGGTCAGGGCATGCCCACGCCCAAAAAGAGCCCCCAGCTCCAAGCTGCGGGGCCCATGCCCTTGTGGGCTCTGCCATAGTCCCTGTAGCTCAGGGCAGAGGTTTGAACAAGAGCACATGGTATGGGTCACCCGTGACCCCAGCTGGTGTTTGAGGGTCTTCTCTCAGGGGCGCCCTCGGCCGCTTTATTAGGGGAGGAGTGATGGTTGGGACACTAACTTGTGCCCAAAACTTAGAGGAACCCTAACATGAAACCCAACGATGTATTATGGGAAAGGCGTCCCAGCCAGATTCCGGGAGGTGAGAGTGCAGGTTGCCTGTCTGGGTGAGAGAGCAGGGCCGGGGGTGGTCACTGCTGACCCTCTGCCTCCCACGTGCGCGGGGGGCACAGCATGGGGCTCTGTTTGAGATGGCCTTGGCCCTGACCGTGAAGTTCTCCCTCCAGCGGATGCCCTGCACACCCACAGCTCCCTCTTCCTGGAGGGCGGCTCCCAGGGAAGCCCCCCGATGGTGGACGCCCCCTCCTCGCCCCCTCCCGCCCCGAGGTCCCAGCGCCTGGGGCGGAGGATGAGCCAGGACAGCTCGCACAGCGAGAGCTCCGCGTCCTCGGACAGCCTGGCACCCGTCGGCACCTCCTGCAGTGAGTGAGGGTCCTCTGGGGAGTCTCCCTGGGGTCAAGGGAGAGGGACCTACCTCTGGGTGGCTGCTGGCCTACCGCCAGAGCTGCCGAGGCCAGGGAGGAGGGGGGAGGATAACTGAAATCGCACTGAACTCTGACCTAAGAGAGAATTCTGACCCTAGCTGTGGAAGGAGCCAGGATCCCTCCTGGCACAAACTGAGCTCTGACCTCCGCCAGAGCCCTGATCCCAACATTCAGCTTCCCCACTGGGAACCCTGCTGACCGGCAGCCCGGGGGCCGGTGGGGGGTGGGGGGGGACTGTGGACGCCTCCATGGGTCCCCACTTTTGGGGACCAGCCTGCGGCAAGTGTCCTAGAGGAGGGGAGGGTGGGAGGTGGGGAAAGAAGCCGCGTCCCAGAGCTCATTGTGAGCTGGGTGCCGGCCTCACTACTGCGCCTGTGCATGGGGTCCCACACTGCCCCCTGGGTCAAGGCCCAGGCAGTCTGCTCCATCCTCACCTCCCTCTCGGCCCCACAGTCACAGCCAAGTGGTGGGGTGCCAAGCGCATCGACTACGCCCTGTACTGCCCTGACGTCCTCACCGCCTTCCCCACCGTGGCGCTGCCCCACCTCTTCCACGCCAGCTACTGGGAGTCCACGGACGTGGTGGCCTTCATCCTGAGACAGGTATACCGCCCCTCGGTGCCCACCGCAGGGCCCGCCTTCTGGGCCTGGAAAAGAGCTGGCCCCGCAGTCCTCCCAGCACTCAGTCAGGTGGGAGGGCGACAGTCAGACCACGGGGCTTCGTAAGGAGCACTGGCTCCTGCCTGAGGGCTTGCTACTTTCTAGAAAGTTAAATAGAAACTGCGTGGGAGAACGGACCCACGTTTCAACTTGGAGAGCGGAGTACTAAAGGCCTGCTCTCGGCGGGTCTCAGCGACCTGGCCTGTGGGTGGCACAGAGGCCAGTGACGGGGAGAGTGTCGGGGAGGAGGAAGAGGAGAGGTTGGGGGCGGGCCCCGGAACACACAGCCTAGATGGCCAAGTTCAGGCATGTGATGCTGTGCAGGGTCCAGTCCGGAGTCATTGCAGAGTTCTGAATAAGGGGGAGATATCAACTGCCTTGTGTTTTTGGGAGGAGGGCTGCCGTTTGTGGGGGGAAAGCATGAGCCCCTTCAGAAGGCAAAATAGGAGCCCAACTTCCTGAGGGCAGCTCGGGCCGAGGTGCTGGTGGTGGAGGCGCAGAGGGATTGAGCTGGGTGCCAGGCCCCGCTGGCGTCGGGGCTGTAAGGGAGAAGGGAGCCTAAGGGTCCTGTTCCACGTGACCACTCACAGGAGTGCCATTCCCTACGGTTGGGGAGGAGCGGGGCGGGGGGCGGGGAAACTGAGTCTTGTCTCTGGGCCTGGGAGGGTGAGAGGCCTGTCAGATGTGGAGAAGGAAGGGGAGTAGAAAGTCTGGAGCTTGGGAAGGTGTCAGGCTCAGAGATAAAAATGTGGATGATGGCGCCCGGATGGCATTTAAAGCCAACGACAGGGTGACAGGTTCAATGCTCCTGACTTTGACACCAATTCCAAAGTGTGGCTTCTTCCCCGCACCACGCAGCTCTCCAACACCAGCCGGTGCCTCACAATCCAACTCCGTCCTGACACTGCCTACCTGGAAATAGCTCAGTCCCACAGGGTAACGGTTCAGTCCCACAGACTGACAGCCACCCTCCCCCTCCCTCCCTCCCTGCCCACCAGACACCAATCGCAAGTCCAGGCTGCCACCTGGGCTCCTGATGGACTGATCACAGGTCCCCAATTCCCTTCCTTGGGTCTGATGACTGTAATTTGCTAGAGTGGCTCACAGAACTCAGAGGCATTTTCCTTACTTGATCAGCAGTTTGTTATAAGAGGATATAACTCAGGGGCAGGCAGACGGAAGAGACGCCTAGGACAATGGGGAAGTGGCGGGAGCTTCCCTGCCTCTCCTGGGAAGCTGCTCTGCCCAGATCTCCACGTCTCCCCAGGCCAGGAGCTCTGAGAACCCTGTGTTTGGAGGTTGCTATGGAGGCTTTATTACCGGGCTCGATTGATTAAATCATTGGCTCCTGGCTACGGATCCAACCTCCAGCCCCTCTCTCCTCTCTTGGAGGTGAGGGGTTGGAACTGAAAGTTCAAACCCTCTATTCACAAGGTTGGTTTCCCTAGCAACCAGCCCCCCACAAGCCACCTCATTAACATAAAAGACACCTTTGTTGCTCTCGTCACTTGGGAAATTACAAGGATTTTAGAAGCTCTGCGCCATAAATGGGGTGAAAAAGCAAACAAATAAACAAATATATATTTCTTACGATAAATCATACCACCACAGATACTGAGGGACTTTCCGTAGATAGAGAAGATCAAGGCTGAGTCCTGCAGCTCCAAGAGGGAGAGAGGAGGAATCACTGCTGAGCAAGAGAGGGTGGATGAGAGAGGACCTGGAGTGGGCAGAATGGAAGCCATGGGCGGGGCTTTGTGAAGAATGGCTTCGGTGGAGCAATGGGGACAGAAGCCTGGCTGGAGTGGGCAGAGGGAGGGGGCAGGCAGGGAGGGGAGACAGAGCTCAGGGGAAGGGAAGAGCAGGAATGTGATGATCATTGGAGAGACACCAGGGGCCCTAGAGAGAGTGTTTTTTTTCTTTTCTTTAAGGTGACGCGGTGATAGCACGCTTGTATGCAAAGGAGAATGGTTCAGTGGAGAGGGTCTGATCAGTTCCTTAGGACTGAGAGGGAATGCTGCAGGAGCAATGGCCTTGAGTGGCAGGAGGGGCTGGGGTCAGGGCTTCAGCCACCTTAGGTGAGGGTCACCTGCCTCACAGGAGGGAAGGCAGAGAACGGGCAGACACAGAGAGCTGTTCAGTTGGGGTGTGGAGGGTAGAAGCTGCTCCCGGGCCAGAGAGCATTTGTGGGCCTGTGCTGTGGCCCCAGCAGTCAGGACTGGAGGGCAGGGACATGGATCCTGGAGTCTCTGGCCTTCTGAGGGTTCCAGGCTGGGAGGTGAGGAGGCTTGGGGTGGGCCTTCTGGCCACAGCTGCTGGGCCCTGACAGCCTGGGAAGGAGGAGGAGGGGTTGGGATGGCCTGACCTGGAGCCCTGCTTGGCATCCATCACCAGGTGATGCGCTATGAGAGTGCGGCCGTCAAGGAGAGCGATGGCTTGGACCCTGCCACCCTGAGCCCCACGAACCCCCGAGAGAAGTGGCTTCGGAAGCGGACCCAGGTCAAGCTGCGGGTATGTGCTGGCTTTAGCCACGCCCTGGTTGGGACGTGGCCTCAGAGAAGTGGGGCTGCCCTGGGGGCTGGGGCGTCCCCATGGCAGGGAAGGCCTTTGATTTGCCCCTCAGAGCTGAGCATTCACACATGCTGGGCTTCATGCTTAGCTGAGGCGCAGGGTGCTGCAGGGGGTAGGGGGGTGAGGTTTGGGGGTGTGTGTAAGATGGGAGAATTGGTTCCAGGTGGCCTGGTTCCAGAGGAACCCAAAGAATGGGGGTCCAGGGCACTGGGGAGAGTGAGATGCCAATTATGGAGCAGCTGCTATACGCAGGGCCTCTAGAGATGTAGGTGTGAAGAGCCCTGTCCGTGATCACGGGGCTCACAGCCTGACTTGTCAAGTGTGGTCTAGAGAGGGATTTGCCATGACAGAGGGAGGCAAAGCCTGGGGAAGAGATAGAAAGGAGAATTGCAGGGCGGGACATGCACGGCTTCCATGAAGAGTCACCCTTAAAGGGCACTGAGATGTAAATAGGAGTTTGCTATACACATTCATTTATTCACTCAGTAAGCAATCAGTGCCCCCTGTGTCCCTAGCCCTCTTCCAGGGAGCGAGCGGAGAACAGGGGTTTATAGACACAGCCATGGCTGTGGGGGACACGTCCAGCCTGGTGGGAAGACCCAGACATAGACCCCACCAGGAGTACTAACAAGGTAGAAGGTGATCAGTGCTCCGTGGATTGACTCTTCTGTTTTGACATGTTTATTGAGCTATAACTCAGGTATTATTCACCCACTTAAAATTCAATAGGTTTTAGTGTACTCGCAGGTGTATGCAACCTGACGTTTCATTATTTCAAAAAAAAACACCCTTTGGCCATCATCCCCCAGCCCTGAGCAATCAGGGATCTACTTTCAGCCTCTATAGATTTGCCCATTCTGGACATTTCACATAAACAGAATAATACAATACATTGTCTTTTGTGTCTGGTTTCTTTCACCTGGCATAATGTTTTCAAGGTTCATCCATGTGATAGCATGCATCAGTACTTCATTCCTTTTTATGGCTGAGTGATATTCCATTGAATGGATATGCCCCATTTTTGCTTATCCATGAACCACTTTTCACCCTTTGTCCACTACGAATGATGTTGCTGTAACTATTTGTGTGCAGGTTTTTATGCGAACAGATGCTTTCATTTCTCCTGGGCATGTACCTAGGAGCGGAATTGCCTAGTCAAAGCGTAACTCTAGTGTAATAATTTGAGGAACTGCAAAACTTGTCCAAAGCAGCACCATCATTTTACATACCCCCTGCCCCCCACCCAGCCGTGTACGAGGGTTCTGAGTCCTCTGCATCCTCACCAACACTGGTTATTATCTGTCTCTTGGACTCTATCATCCTAGTGGGTATGAAATGGTATCTCTTTGTGGTTTGATTGGCATTTCCTTGATGACTGACTAGTAAGATTCAAGCATCTTCCCATGAGTTTGTTCCCATGAACCAATTCTCCCCCCTGCATGCTTTGACAGGCCCGTGTCCCTCCAGCCAGTCCTGAGGACAATGCAATGGACAGGCAAGCTGCAGTCCTTTGTGCAAAGGCTGAGCTGGTTTCTGTCCTAGGTTCCTGTGAGGGGGCCTGGGTCCCGCACTTTGGAGTGTCCCCAGGGCAGGGTTACTGTCTGGTTCCCCTTTGTGTCCACCAAGCCCAGCCGAGGGACCTATGCAGATGAGGTGGCTACAAATGTTCACTGAACTGAACTAAAATTCCCTGGGAACTGAGAGGAGGTACAGGCCTTGTAGGGGTGTCTAAGCAGAGTTTCTGGGAGGGGACAACATTGAGTCAGGTCATGGTGGATGTGCTGGACTCTGGGGGCAGGAGGCCAGCGATGGCATGTAAGGTGGGGGCTCAATGTGAGCCAAGGCCTAGAGGCCACTGCAGAGCCCGGCCAGAAAGGGCCAGAGAGACTCAGAAGGGGAGCAGGAGAGAGGGCGGAAAGGCTGCCCAGGCAGCGCTTTAGTGCTGAGCTCATGGTTTGGACTTTGCCTGCGGGTCCTGGAGCTAACAGATCTGAGCTTTATAACGCCGGTGGACCTGCCGGGGGTCTGTTTTTGAATGTGGAGCTTCATGAAGAAGCCATTAGCAGAGCCCAGGTGAGAGAGAACATGGTGTGGAACAGATGCCATGGGGGCAGTTCTGCAGGGGAAGGGCCGCCAGACTGAGTGGCTGCGGTGTGGAAGCCAGGCCGAGAAGGGGGGTGCTGGCCGATGGAGGCCTCTGAGCTGCAGTGACCTGACACTGGGAGGGAAGAGGCGTGAAACGTTGGAAATGATGCGATGTCCAAGGTGGCTCCAGATCCTCTGGCGTGGGGGTGGGGGTGGGGATTGTGCAAGGGAAGGGCACCAGAATGGATCGGCAGAGGAGCTGGTGTCAGGCACACAATTCTCTCTGCTCTAGTCCATCCTCACTAAGAAAAGACAGATGGTAAATGGCTGTGGCATGTGAGCAGAGAGGTGGAAGGAAGAAGCGAAGGGAGTGGACTGGCCGTTTCCAGCCTCGGAGCCCAGGAGGATGCCAGGCTGTGAGGACTGGCGGTTCCTCAGGGCCGCGGGGACAACGGGAGCAGAGAACTCTCCCCTCGGGGGACCCCAGCGCTCTCGGGGGACGGCGTTGGGGTCTCCGGGTCTGTTTTCTCATGTGAACATGTCTTGGGGGCTCTAACAGGGCTCATAGGAAGGCCTGCTCTGGCAGGTCCGTGTCCTCCAGCCAGTCCTGAGGACAATGCCGGGGACGGGCACGCTGCAGCCCCTGGTGCAGAGGCTGAGCTGGTTTCTGTCCCTGCAGAACGTCACTGCCAACCACCGGGCCAACGACGTCATTGCCGCCGAAGACGGCCCCCAGGTCCTGGTGGGGCGGTTCATGTACGGGCCCCTGGACATGGTGGCTCTGACGGGAGAGAAGGTACAGAGGCGGGGCATCCCCTCCTTGACTGCCCACACACACACCCGGTGCCTCATGGTACCCCATGGCATGTGGGCTGAGGGCTGAGGGAGGCCGAGCTGGGAGACACCCTGCCCGTGGAGGTGGGGTGGGGGGGTGGGCAAGCTAGGGAGCAGGGGTGAACTTGGTGCATCTGAGGGGCCGGTCGTGGCTGCAGTGGGGAGAGAGAGGGTGGTAGGAACCAGGAAACATCAGGCAGGACCCCAAGCCCCTGAGTTCTGTTTTGGCAGAGAGCTCCCTGGCCGAGCCCCCAAGCCAAGCCTGCAGCACCCCAGTCTCAGTGCATTCCCTGGCCCCCTTGCTGCCCGCAGGTAGATATCCTGGTGATGGCAGAGCCGTCCTCGGGCCGTTGGGTGCACCTGGACACGGAGATCACCAACAGTAGCGGCCGGATCACGTACAGCGTGCCGAGGCCCCGGCGCCTAGGGGTTGGCGTGTACCCCGTGAAGATGGTGGTCAGGTGAGACCCAGGACACGCTCCCATGGTGGCTGCACCCCTGCCCTGGCCCTTCCAGCAGAGCCTCTCCGGAAGATGGGCCCTCGGGGTGCTCTGTTTTGGGCCTCATCCCTGCCTGTCTGTTGGGAGAGAGGTCATCATCAGATTGTCTGGCCCCAAACTGAGCTCTGACCCAGTGGCACGCTGACCTCTGGCCCCCGGCTCACCCCTGACCTGGCACATGGCTGAGCACCCGCGGTGCTTTTCAGGGGCGACCAGACCTGTGCGACGAGCTACCTCACGGTGCTGCCCCGAGGCATGGAGTGCGTGGTCTTCAGCATCGACGGGTCCTTTGCAGCCAGCGTGTCCATCATGGGAAGTGACCCCAAGGTCCGGCCGGGGGCAGTGGACGTTGTCCGGTGAGTGCTACTTCCCTGCAAGGGACATGTCCCCCGTGGGCAGGAGCCAGCGGACCTGGGGGGCACAGATAAGCTTTTTCTGGTTTCCTCCAGGAGTCCCACTGGCCTCGGGCCCAGGAGCCCGAAGCCTTGGCTTCACTTCCAGTGTTAATTTACCTGCGTCCCCGAGATCCTTCCTGCCGCATTCTAACCCCAGATCCCCCCGCCTGCCCGCCCTGCCCTCCTTCCTCGGCTTCCTCTAACTCTATCTGAGCATTCTCTGCAGGGCATCAGGCCTGGTCTCTCACATTCTGACCCCAATCAGGATAAATCCGAGTGTTCTGAGGATCCCCTGCTGTGTAACAAATGGCTCCAAACTTAGCTGCTTAAAATAATAATTATGATTCTGTCTCATGGTTCTCCGGACTGTCTGGGTTCTTTTGCAAGGTTCTCATGGGGGGTTGTCTCTAGCAGAAGGTGGTCTGGGGTGGGGGCGTCTGAAGGCTCCCCTGGACTGGATGTCAGGAGGGCTGGCTGCTGACTGCACGTGCTGCTCCTTGCCTGGGGGCTCTGTCTCTCCCCATGGCTGCTGCCCAGGGCTAGCCTGGGAGGCCTCAGGCTATTCAGACGTTGCACTGGGTGGCTGGCTCCCCCTGGGTCCCAGATCAGGTGGAAACTGCAAGCCTTCGTCTGACCCAGCCTTGGGAGGCACCGTGTCCTTCCCACTGCATTCTGTTGGTTATAAGCTAGTCGCAGGATCTGCCCAGATTCAAGGGGATGGGCCCACATACATGTGAATGCTGGGACCCAGGGCTCAGCGCGGGGCCATCTTTTGAGACTAGCTAACCACAGGGCTAGTTGAGAGATGGGATCTATTCCAGCTGGTTGGAGAAAGCAGAGTAGGCTTTCTGGGAGAAGTGGCATTTGAGATAGCCCCTAAAGGGTGGATGTATATATGTTTTTCAACCCATGCCATTGTACAAATATTATCAAACATGGAGAGAGAGGGGATCAGCCTGGATTGCAAGAGGGCACAGGCCATACCGAGAGACCCACCAGTGTACAATCAGGTATTGGGGCCAGGGAGGGATGCAGGAGATTGGCCAGTGCGGGAGGGCTCCAGGGCATATCTGGCCCCTTTAGCTCAGTCCGGATTGGCCAGACCCCAGCAGCAAGCTAACCTACTAGTCAGAGCATCTGCCCCCTGGTGGTCAGTACATGTCATAGCAAGCAGTTGAGAGGCCTTAGCATATCATTAGCATATTATGCTTTGATTGGTTGAATGGCCAACTGAACAACTGGACACTTAGCATATTAGCCTTTTATTATGTAGGATGAAAAAAGGAAAGAAAAAAAAAAAGGAAGGAAGGAAGGAAGGAGGAAAGAAAGAAAATCGATTGATTTAGATAGGCCAAGAGGAGGGCACATGGTGACAAAGACAGGGAAGAGCAGAGCACGTGGGGGGCAGGAGGGACAAGGTCAGGGTTGGGTTTTGGAGACCAGGCTAGGACAGGGCAGGAGTGTGGCTGGAAATGCAGCCTTCCAGGGCCATGGCATTGCTGAGAGGGCTGCAGAGGCTGCTGACGACAGAAAAGCAAAAGAGGCACCACTTTCGTCCCTGCCGCCCTCCCCGCCTCCCTCCACCCCCGCCTCCCTTTCCTAAGCCAGGCCTGTGCTGGGCACTGAGGAGGGGAGAGATCCAAGGAGGAGAGTCTCACGGTCCACGGGGAATCAAGTCACGGGGGTGAGACACTGGGCCAGGACTCCAAGTGATCAGAACCCCACGAGTGGAACCGGTCCTGGGTCCTGGGAGTCCTTGGTGTTGGGATAGTGACTGTCCGGCCTCACCCCAGTCGCAGGGACCGCTTTGGGGAGAGAATACTATCCTGGCTCAGGGGCTCCTAGGACACTGCTGACTCATGATGCCCTGTGGGGACAGGTCACGGACAGGCTCGATGTCACTCCCTGTATAAGACTGTGCTTTTTTTTTTTTTTTTTTTTTTAAATATATTTTATTGATTTTTTTACAGAGAGGAAGGGAGAGAGATAGAGAGCTAGAAACATCGATGAGAGAGAAACATTGACCAGCTGCCTCCTGCACACCCCCTACCGGGGATGTGCCCACAACCAAGGTACATGCTCTTGACCAGAATTGAACCTGGGACCCTTCAGTCCACAGACCAATGCTCTATCCACTGAGCCAAACCGGTTTTGGCAAGGCTGTGCCTTTTATTCCCATGAACATCTCCTCCAAAGCCCGCCCAGTCATTATCCCTGATCTGGGAAAGGGAGGCTGTGGTTGGTCCTTCCTCTCCGGGGATCCTTCTGGTGCTTTCCTCTCTTTCCCGCGGGCTCCTGGGGCCACTTGGTGCTCCCCAAACCCTGCTGCCCATCAGAAGCTGCCTCTTGTCATCACAAATCGCTGGATCCCACGCCAGTCTAACCAGACTCTCTGGGGGTGACACCGGGGCCCCTGCATTGTTGCAAAACCTCCCCAATCTCCTCGGTCACCTGCCAGGTCTGGAACCCCCCTCCCCCCAATCTGGAGTAGCCAGTGGGGGGCTAGTGTCCCAGCAGCTCCCAAACAGGCCTGCGCTTAGCCAGAATGTCATGCGAGGTGGCGAACTGCTCAGTGCTCGTCCCACTGTGCTGTGCAAGCACAGAGAAGGGACACTGATTCTGCCTGGGTCGCTGGGACGCTGGGAAGGCTTCTGGAGGAGGGGCTGGGGAAGCTGGGGGGATGGGAACACCAGGAGATGGACGCCGAGGCCGCTAGTGGAGGGTGTGCAGCAGGAGAGTGCAAGGCTGGTCCCGGACAGCCCAGCAGCTCTGTGACTGGGGGAGGCCGGGCTCCAGGGCACCGCATGGAGGCCACTGGTGAGGAGAGGGCTCATGACCTCAGTGCACTGGGGAGCCAGGAATGGCTTTCTTTAGGCGAAGTTAGATCTGTGATTTACAAACACCATCATGGAAACAGTACAGAGGACAATAGTGCCCCACCTGTGTGAAACACAGCAGGCCGGGGACATTTGGGATTAATGCATTTATTTCATCCATAGCATGACCAGCGTGGTGGTTGCTAATATCCTCTCCGTTTCACAGCAGTGAAAACTGAAACCCTGGGGCTAATGAACCTGCCTGAGGTTGCAGGCCCAGGTTAGATTGAAGCGTGTGGGGGGCGTGGAGCAAAAGGCCCCACCAGGAGGCTCTTGTAGTGCCCGGCAGACCCAGGGCCTGAGCTAAGGCTGAGCAGTGGATTGCAGTGGAGAACGCAGTAAGGACCTGATAGAATGGAAGGCCGCTCCTGATTGGAGGAGGAAAGAGGGTGGCAAAGGGAAAGGTGGTAGGGGGGGGGAGAGAAGCAAAGGCGCTTACCTCTGGTTCCAAAAACTTGAGTGACATTGGCAGCACCACAGAGAGGGGACATGGGCAGAGGGGCCCGGAGTCAGGGGACCAGTGGCGTGAGCATGCAGTGCCTGTGGGCCATCCGAGAGAGATGTCCAGGACTCAGGGGCTCCCCTGGGAGGATGGACTTGGGGATCCCCCTGGCATTCCTCCTTGGAGCAGCCCCTCCGTCTTCTCAGGAAGGCAGCAGGCGGGCGGGGCAGGCCCCCGGGCGGCGGGTGGACTGGGGCGGGGCTGGATGCTGCAATGCCCTCTCACCAGGCACTGGCAAGACCTGGGCTACATGATCCTCTACATCACGGGGCGGCCGGACATGCAGAAGCAGCGGGTGGTTTCCTGGCTGTCCCAGCACAACTTCCCGCAGGGCATGATCTTCTTCTCCGACGGGCTGGTGCACGACCCGCTGCGGCAGAAGGCCATCTTCCTCCGCAACCTCGTGCAGGAGGTGAGTGGCCGGCCAGGGCGGGACTGCGGCCCCCAGGACTCTCCTCCCTCAACCCCTGGGCCCTCACCCCTTTACCCACACCTCCCACGGTGCACGTGGATGGCAAAGGTCCTTCGAGCGGATCTCAGTGGGTCCTTTGACAGCCCTTCCAGGTAGGTATTGTTCTCCCCGGTGACAGAGGAGAAAGGCGAGGCTCACCGACTTGCCCAAGGTCTTGAAAACCTCAGAAGCCAGGCCCAGTGCATGGACTCTCTGCTGAGGGCAACGGGGAACTATGGAAGAACTCAGAGCCATGGGGGAGCTTAAAGTGGCAGTGTCTTCGTTTGGGCCGGAGAAAGATCCCTCCGGCAGCTCTGTGGAGAACAGATTAGTGGGAGAAGCAAGAGGCAGGGATGTCAGAAAGCTGTTGCCCAAACGAGAGACAGGCAGACCAGAGTCCAGCGGTGGCTCGGGATGGAGAGAAAGGCCTGGGCAAACCGGGAGGGAGAACTGCCGGGGTCCAGTGATGGTTTTGTGGAGGGAGTGAGGAGCTCTCAGATGTCCCCTGAGTAACCAGGAGAAGTCCAGGTGCTATTCATCTGACCCGACTGCCATCTCCAGGGAGGCACAGTTGTGGCTGCTTTGCCCCCAATTTGTCTCCAGCAAATGGGGCAATGATGACCCAGGGTAGGCACGCGATCAATGTTAGTGGAATGAATGAGCAAATGAATGAAATGACAGGGGACCAGGCTGGGGGAAGATGAGCTTACCTGTGGACACACTGAGGCTGGAATGGCCATTGGACACACACTACGTCAGTCCCAGCTGAGCAGGCCAGTGGAGCCGTGGGCGGGGGTGAGAGGGGTTGTGCTGAGCCCCCAAGAGCAGCAAGAGGAGCAGCAGAGGAACCAGAGGCGCCAGATGCGAGGAGGCAGGAGGGAGGAGCTTCCAGGGATCAGCAGGAGAAGGTTTCAAAGAAGGAGGGAGTGTCCTTGTGAAGGACAAATGTCCTTATGATGAAGGCTGGACACTGCTGACCTCAGGGAGGAAGGGGCACCTCAAAAGGTCAGAGGGCAGAGCAGTGGGGTGGGAGCAGAGAAGGCGGGTTTTGGCTCAGAGGGCAGTGGTTGGATGGGTGTGGACTCACTGGACTGAGGCTGCGAGAGTGAGCTGGGTGAGTCAGGAGGCGGGACAGGGAGGGGCACAGAAATGGCTTCTTCCTTTGGGCTAAAGGCAGGTTGGGGGAACCGCTAATGCGGAGAGGGCCAGAGGGCTGAGAAAGCCCTCTCTTTGGTTTGACACCCAGGACTGGGAAGCAGCTCAGGGAGAGAAGTAAAAATCGGCAGGTTTGGGGGGTGGGAGCAGAAAGAATATGTGGGGCCAGGGCTGTGTGGTTCTGTGTTTTTGCAGAAGTTCTCAGCAGCCAGCATGTAGAAAAGGAGAAAGTGGATTTGGAGAAAGTACAGGTTGAGGTGTGTGTGTGTGTGTGTTTGTGTATGTGTGAGTGTGTGAGTGTGTGTTTGTGTATGTATGAGTGTGTGTGTGTATGTGTGAGTATGTGAGTGTGTGTGAGTGTGTTTATGTTTGAGTGTGTGTGTGTGTGTGTGTGTGTGAGTGTGTGTGTGTGTATGTGTGAGTGTGTTTATGGTTGAGTGTATGTGTTTGTGTATGTGTGAGAGTGTGTGTGTGAGTGTGTGTGTGTGGGGGGTGTGGGTGTTTGTGTATGTCTAAGTGTGTATGTGTGAATGTGTGTGAGTGTGAGAGTGTGTGTATGTGTGTGTGAGTGAGTGTGTGTGTGTTTGTGTGTGTGTGTGTGAGAGAGAGAGAGAGAGAGAGAATGTGTGAGTGTGTGTGTGTGTCTGGGCGGGGGGGGGGGGGGTGTCTAGGATGAGGGCCTGGAGAATGCAAGGTGGAGGAGAACCCAGGGAAGCCATGGGGAGCCCCGGCAGGGTGAGGAGGGGTGAGGAGGAGAGGCGTGCAGAGGATGCCGATGGGAAAAGGCCAGAGGCTGTCAGAGACATTGAGGGAAGTGGGGGGGAAGGAGGGTCAGCGTGGGAAGGCGAAGGTTCAGAGTTCAGAGGGGTCGTTCCCGGTCCAGTCTTGGAGGTGCTGGTCCTTGACCTTAAAGAAGGCAAGTTGCTGAGAGGTTCAGGCGATGGGGGGTCATTGTGTGGACAGGAAGTCATCCCAGTGATGGTGGGACTTAGGAGGAAGAAAAGCTGGGACCAAAAGTCCCCCGCGAATTTCGAGGGAGGGTGAAGGGAGAGAAGATGACGTCAATGGGGGGCTCAAAGTGAGGAGCCTTGAGATGGTGAGCACCTCAGTGCAGGCGGGGATCTGGGAGTGACGCCGGCATGAGGAGGAGCTGGGCCATCCTCTGATAGATGATGCTTGTGAGGAGGACATCAGACCAGCCAGCACCAGGCAGTGGCCACATGGCGCCTCCAGTCCGGTGCGGTGGGGATGGATGGCACAGGGTTGGAGGACAGACAGGACTGGCTCTGTGATATGGAAACCTGGGAACCTGGCCCTCAACTTCCTGGTCCCCAAAGGAGCGCTTTGCCCTGTTGTCACATGACCTACGAATAGAGCTGCTCAGCTGACGGTGCGGTCCTGGCGTTGCCAGGCAGAACCCTGGGTTGGGCCAGGGGTGTAGGGTCGGGGCAGAGAAGGGAGGCCACTTCAGGGCAGACCCATGACTTGGATTCTATCGGTGCGCAGAGCAGGGCCCCCGGCAGGAATTTCCTGGGGGATGGGGATCCAGAAACCCATTGGCGGGGGTAGGTGGGGGTGACTGGCCTCCCTCGCCCTCCACGAGCTGCTCTGTGTTTCAGTGCTTCATCAAAATCAGCGCTGCCTACGGCTCCACGAAGGACATCTCCGTCTACAGCGTGCTGGGCCTGCCGCCCTCCCAGATCTTCATCGTGGGCCGGCCCACCAAGAAGTACCAAACCCAGTGCCAGGTGGGTGGGGGCCTGGCTGGGGCTGGGGGTCGGGGAGTGGGGCCAAGGATATAGTAAGGGGCGGATAGGTGGTTATTCCTTTATTTGATCATTCCTTCATCTGCTCATTCATTCATTCATTCATTCAGCAAATACTGCGAGACACTGGCCTTGAAACGGGCCCTGTGTTGGGGGCAGGGAAGAGTCCCGGGTGAAGCGGGTGTCATGCCATCCAGCCCAGCAGGGAGATGGGAACATGGGCAGACAGGGACAGTGCAGGGTGGCAGGAGCCATATTAAATGAGGGGGCAGCACAGATGGCTGGCGGGGCCCCAGACAAGGACAGGCGCCCTGGCCTCAGAGCGAGGCTGGCTCTCCGAAGTGTGAGGCTTGGCCCTAGAAGGGCCTGTAGTGGGAGGAGCATTTGTGACAGGGCCGGAGGCGACAGAAGACTGGTGTATTCTGGGAACGGCCAGTGCCAGCGTGGCCGAGTGTGAGGTGGGGGGAGTGGGAGAGGGGCTGGGGTTGGGGGGCAGTGCGTGCAGGCCTGTGTGCTCTGAGTCTGCGGAGTGTTCGCAGTTCAAGGCTGCAGGGGGCAGGCGGGTGGGAGGAGGTGGCAGGGCAGCGGAGGGGAGGGAGGTGGGAGGGTCTGAGCCGCACGTTTAGGAAGAGGGACTGGGTTTGGTGATGGCGGTGCAGGTGTGTGGGACGCAGGAAGGGAAAGGCAAGGAGGGCACCCTGTTTCCAGCTTGGGGAGGAGCAGGCGGAGGAGCAGACGAGGGGAAGGCAGTGCTCCTTCGGGGCGTGTTGAGTGTGACCGTGGAGGGACCCCTGAGTGGGGATCCTTAGGGCAGTGCTGATCTCACACTCCCTGTGCACTGGTGGGCCTCATGGGGATGTTGTTTACACGTGGATCCTGGTCTGTAGTCGGGGGTGGGGCCTGGGATGCAGCTGCCACTGGCACAGCAAGCTGAGCACAGCAGAAGGAATGGCCAGAGGGCCGCTGTGGGGGCCGGAACATGACTGAGTTCCCTGGGGTAGAAAGAAGGTGGATGGTGGGAGAGACTGACAGTTTGGGGTTTTAGTGGAAGTGACCAGGGTGGGCGTTCCGCCCCCATCAAGAATCCAGGGGATCCGAAGGCCCACGGGTGCAGATAGACTAGACGTGAGTGTTCAGGAGCCTTGAATGGTAAGAGAGTCCAGTTTCCTGCAGGTTCCACGGAGAAGCTGGAGAGTCCATGGCAGGGAGAGAAGGGGTGACTGGCGCTGGTGGGGGGGGGGGGGATGAGGGCAGAACCAGGCACCTGCCTGCCCCGCTGGCCTGACCCCGGTCCCCCGTTCCCCCCCCCCCCCCCCCCCCCCCCGTGCCCCCTGCAGTTCCTGAGCGAGGGCTACGCCGCCCACCTGGCCGCCCTGGAGACCAGCCACCGCGCGCGGCCCAAGAAGAACAACTCGCGGATGGCGCTGCGCAAGGGCAGCTTCGGCCTCCAGCCCGACTTCCTCCGCAAGCGCAACCACCTGCGCCGCACCCTGTCCGTGCAGCAGCCGGACCCGCCCGCCAACCCCAAGCCCGAGCGCGCCCAGAGCCAGCCCGAGTCCGACAAGGACCACGAGCGGCCGCTGTCCGCGCTCAGCTGGGCGCGCGGGCCCCCCAAGTTCGAGCCGGTGCCCTGAGGGCGGGCTGTGCGCGGAGACGGGGGCCCTTGGCTGGCGGGCTGCCTGCGGGGGGGGATGGGAGCGGCCGCCTTCTCCCGGACACAGGCCTTTTCCTGCTTTTTCCCTCCCGTGTCTGTCCAGTCGTGTCCGACCACAGGGGGAGGGAGGGGCCCTACCCGGCCTTGGGGGGCTCCCTAGGCTGCAAGTGGGTGAGGCAGCCGCTGCTGCCTCCCTGGTGCCTGTGGCTCCGGGCCCAGTTCGGGGTTGGTGTCTGTGTAACTGGCTGGGTGCAGGCCTGCCCGGAGCTGGTGTTGGACGGAGTCGACCATCTTTCTGGGTTCTCTGGGCTTCGAGGTCGTGCAAGGCAGGTCCCGAGGGGAGAAGCCCCAGACCAGGGATCCGCGGCCTCTTGGCTGTCCCGTGAGAGGCGAGTGAGTGGCATTGGTGCCTGACATTCCGAATCACCAGGTTGGGCCTGGCTCTCCTGCGGCAAAGCGGCCACTTTCTGGGAGAGAGAGGGTGCGCCCTGGGCCAAGCTGTGTTCAGGTGTCTGTCCCCAGCCCTGGGGGAGGGGTCTGGTGCTGCCGGTCCGTCCTGCGGCTGTTCCAGTCCTGCCTTCTGTCCTCAGTGTCTTCAGCACCCTCCCATGGCCCCAGAGGGCTCCTGTCTCTGGAGGCCCACCCGGTGCCGTCCCCCTGTGAGGCTGCGGCCTGGGGCTCTGGCCCCGCTGGGCTGGCTGTGAGCCCCTGAGCCAGCTACTGGCCCTCTCTGGGCCCTGCCTTCCTTATGTAATTGCGGGATCTCCCCAGCTGAGATCGAATGGGGTTCAGTTTTGGCTCCTAGGCTGCCCCGCTTCTGCCCCGCGAGGCTTTCCAGGCCCAGAGGTCCTCCGAGGGCTTAGGGACCTATGTTGTCCCCACAGTTGGAGAGCGGGACTCGGTGAGGGCAGGAGGGAGCAGCTATTGCCCCACCACTTCAAAGACGGGGCTGGGGCAAGGGGTCCCAGCTTCACCGAGAGACTGCTGTATTTTTTGTTTGTTTGTTTGTTTGTTTTATTTTATTTTTTTGATTTTTTTTTTTTTTTTACAGAGAGGAAGAGAGAGGGATAGAGAGTTAGAAACATGGATCAGCTGCCTCCTGCACACCCCCTACTGGGGATGTGCCCATAACCAAGGTACATGCCCTTGATCGGAATCGAACCCGGGACTTTTCAGTCTGCAGGCCGACGCTCTATCCACTGAGCCAAACTGGTTTCGGCCCGAGAGGCTATTTTATACCGATGCCCACACCCGCTGTCCCAGGGGCAGGGACACGGCCCAGAGGGAACGGATCTGGCTCCCCCTCTCTGGTACCGCCCAGTCTGATTCCTCCCTTGTGGCTCCTGGAAGGTGTAGAACTGAGACCTCAGAGTTCTGGGGGTCTGTGTCGTTTTGGCTCAAACTGTTGTATTCTCCTTCCTCCCCTTTGCCACTCAGCTTGGTTTGGTGCCCGTAACTTCCTCCTAGATCATCCCCTGAGGTTGGCCGGGCTTAGCTCTCCGGGGCCTCGTGCTGCTGGGCCCCTGGCCCAGGCACGGGTCTCCTGCAGCGCTGGCCAGGCTCTGAGCCCCTCCTGCTGGCCCGTTCTCTGTGTCATGGGCCAGGCCGCCCCAGCGCCCGGACAGCTGCATACACAGCAGGCACCTGTGTCAGCTCAGTGTCGCTTCTGCTCAATGTCTACCTCTTGCCGTTCCCACATGGCCAGTGTCCTCCCCGATGGCCGGCCGCTGCTGCTGGGGGCGGCTGGCACCACTGGCACACGGAGCCCCCGACTGGGCCGGAGGGGTCAGGGATCCCAGCCCCTAACCCTGCTCTCTCCACTAGAAATGTGTCTTCTCCAGTCTGCCCGCTCCGGCCACCCCAGCCTGCCAGTCTGCCAGCTCTCTGCGTCCCTTTCAGTCCAGCACCTGCCTTTCAGCAGCGCCCAGCCACTCTGCTGGGGGTGGGCGGTCGCCCCAGGCGTCCTCTCTGGTCCTGCCTCCTGACAGTTCACATTCCTCCTTCACTGGACATCTTTTCTCGGCTCCATGAGGCACCAGCTCCTGTGGCTTAGCCACCTCAACCCCCCCCCCCCCCCCCCCCCCCCCCCCCCCCCCCCCCCCCCTCCTCCCCTCCCCTCCCCTCCCCTCCCTTCCCCTCCCTTCACTTTTCTTTCAAAATATCCCTGAATTCCACTTGGGCAGACTTTTTCTGATTCGCTGAAACTCCACCTCCTCTTTGCCACTGATGTATCACTCTCACAAGATAAAATAATTAGCGTGAGATCCTTCTCCCCCGTCCGGTCCCCTCTGCCTTTCCTGAGAACCCCAGGCTTGGAGCCCGAGGGAGCCGGCATGCCCGGCCCTGGGGAATCTGAGCCCACGGGAGCAGGACTCTGGTTTTGGGGGTGGGAGTGGGAGGGCCCCCTCCCTTTCTGGAGCCCTGGTGGGGGCTCCGAAGCCTCACGCCCCGGGTGCGAGGGTGAATGTACAGTGAGCCGCGCAGCGTCAGCGGGCGTGGCTGTGTGGTCCTGTCTGGTGACCAGACTCGGACATTGTAGGTTTCCGTTCTGCTTTTCACAGCAGCTGTGACCCACAAGCACTTTCTCTGCCAGTGGCTGGTTCCAATTTGTTCGTCCCGTTTTGTTGGAGAAAAACAAAGAGCCGAGTCGTGTTGTTCTTGGGAGGGGCCGCCGCCTCTCCCCAAGTCGTCCCATGGCCCCCCGAGGGCCGTTCCCTGGAGAACCCTTCCAGCTCCCTGAGCCGGCTCCCCCCGAGCTGGGGAGCGGACTTCCCTGCTTGACCAAAGCTCCCTGTTTCTCCGTGGCATGTTTGTTCCTCCCAGCTGGGGGCTGTCCTGCTGGAGGGCCCACCTGCCGCCTGCCTGCCAGTCCCTTCGCCCTGTTGGGGGTTCAGGGTGCATCCGCAGCCAGGGCCTGCTCCTGTGGCATCATGGTTTTTTTCTAAAGAGCCCGACTCCTCCTTTGAGCTTCACAAAGTATGAAAAAAGGGGGATTTTTCATGCATTTGGATGAGTGCCCTCCTACCTGGACACAGGGCCAGAGAAAACATGTCTGCACCCCAGGATTCAGACATCACTAGGGGGTGGGCTCTCTGGGTCTCCTTGTACCACTCTGGACCCTCCCACACCCAGAAGTGTCCTGCAGACGAAACGTGGCACCCATTTTTTCAATGAAAGCTGGGCCCCAGGCAGAGTGCAAGCTCTGTGGGGACACCCCACCCAGCCCAGGTGCAGACGGCCCGGGGTGGGGTGGGGTGGGTGCTGGGCAGAGGAGTCTCGAAATTGACCCGGCCTTAAACAACCAACTTCCCAGCCAGACCCCAGGGGTTTGGGTGCCCAGTGCGCTCGGGACCTAATCTGCCACAAGGGGTCACCTCCCTTCTCCTGCTGCCTCTGGGCTTGGGGGAACTTTCTTAAAAACTATCCTTAGGGTCGTCCAAGCATCGGGGCCTGGCCTGGGTCCTGCCCGCTTTGCTGAGGGTGGTCGGGGTAAATGCCAGTTGGACCTCCCTCTCGTGGGGACAAGGTTTGGCAGGTGACACCAAAGAGGGGCAGGACAGGAGGGCGGCTCGCTCACAGGGACCCCTACCCTCCTTTCTATTCGTTTACTCGGTGGTGGCAGCCTGTGTGGTCTTGTTCGCCGTCTAACTGTTCTTCCGTGTGTACCTCTCAGTACTGTCCATGGCGGGTGGATCTGTGGGTGAAAAGGTTTCCCTCCCTCATGGCTGCCTTGTACAAAATCCTCGAGCAAAGAACATGTAAACTATCAGATTTCTAACTAGACAAAAAACAGCATTCCGGAGTTCAACGATTTTTACAACGGGTCTTGATTTTGATGTGCGCTGGTTTTTAACTCTCAAACGTTGTCACTTAAATAAAAACCTTATTTGCCTTTAAAATGTGCTTTGCTCTGAATGAAGCTGAGAAACCTGTCTTGCTACTCCTGCTTTTCCGGGGGGGGGGGGGGGGGTTGGGGGGGAAAAGGGGGGGGGGCCGGCCTAGGGGTGGAGGGAAGTGGGGAGGACAAGGGGAACAAAGCCTGGCTCCAGGACAGACCCGAGTGGCAGGGGGTGGGGGGTGGGGTGGGGGGTAACAGAGAAGAGATGTCAAATACAGCAAGTCTTTTTTTTTAATGATGAAAGAAAATCTTTATTTCATTATTTTCCATAGATGTACTGTACTGCTAGTACATCGAGAAAACCTCTATTTTTGGTATATTTTGTACATGGTTATATTGCTGAACTCTCCTCTTCATTCTTTCAAAAAATTACCTTTATTGTTGAAAGTATTACAGATTTCCTCCCCTTTCCCCCATTCATCCCTTCTGCCAGGCCCTCACCACACTATTGTCTGTGTCCACGGGCTGTGCACAGATGCATGCAAATTCCATGGCTAATCCCTCCCACCCCAGCCTTCCCTCTGAGACTCCCTCAATCTGTCAGTCTTTGTTATGCAAAAGCAGCGCTATGGAGGGGAGTTATGCCCTGATTTCTTCCTAATAAAATGACAAAACAGATTTCTTAAATAATTTACAAAGGGCAGGCATTGCTGAGCAGTGCTACTCCTCGCTGCCATCCAGTGCCCGATGCTTGCTGAGAACATAAATAGGGACCCGTAGGCCCCAGGTCTCAGAGCCTGGATAACTCTCCCATCCCTTCTTCTGCGGCTGGCCCGGGAGCTAAGCACCCAGCAGTCGGGTCTGCAAGGTGTCACCTCCTGGGCTGTGGCAGGCGGTCTCTGCGGGGCTCAGATGTGGTCCGGGCAGGAGAGCAGAGGCCCCTGATCAGCCTCCACCTGGGCCTTTGCCTATCAGGTCCTTGTCAGCAGTGGCCCCGGGGCACTGCCAACTCTCGGGGGCTTCCTCCAGGAACTCAAAGGTGCGGAGGCATGGATCCCACGCGGAGTGGTGTGGGGGTCAGGTATGACTCACTTCTTGCAAGAAAGAGCTCTCTTCTTGCCCCTCATTGCGCTTCAGGGGGGATGGGAGGGTGAGGACACCAGAGTCTACCCCCAGAATGAGGCTGAACGGTGGTGAGTCAGAGAGGTGAGCAGCTCAAGTCCCAGCTGGAAGGAAGACGGCCCACTTCCCACTCTGCTGGGCGTCAGCTCTGTGGGTTTCTCCAGGAGACTCAGTCCTTCAATGCGCCTCCAAATCTACACATTCGCTCATGGAGGAGGAGGAGGAGAGGAGGAAGGAGAGCACAGCACGCTGGGAAGGATGCTTGGGAGGAAAGATGCTCAGGAGGAGGGCATTACCTGGAGGGCACTCTGTCAGTCTCGAAGGAGAGAAACCATCATGTCGGTGCTAGAGATAGAAAAGCAGGAGAGACATGCCATCGGGTGGGGCAGGCTCCGAGGGCCCTCCCAGCCTGGACTAGACCAGACCAGACCCGGCAACATGGCATCTAGTCAAAGCTCGCAAGGCTAGCTAGGAGCCCATCACCGCCATGTACACATACACATGGCCCCAAGTTAGGGCAGCTCCAGACCTGGGCTCTGCTCTCAGGATGGAGTCCTGAGCAGACAGACTAGGAACTCAAAGTAGCCACACACACAGCTTTCCCCAATTCCATGGGCGGGCAGGGCATGAGGGAGCCATGGGGAGTGTCGGAGGCAGGGCAGAGCCTGGGGAAGTTCCAGGTGATGGACACGTGTGGTGGCCTGAGTGCACCCTTAACTCCTGCCCCAGTCTGGGCCTTTATGTCCTCTCATGTTGCAGATGAAGAGACTGAGGCTGAGAAGGGGAGGGACTGGCCAGGGTCCTACAGTGGCCAGAACCAGAACCAGAGGCCTGCCTTAAAAAGGGGGACCCTGCCAGCCACTTTGCTTGGGAGGATAGATGCCAGCTTACCTCTCTTCAGCCGCGATGACCTCGTCCAGCTCCTGGGACAGCTTCCGGAGGTGCTGGATTCCTGCCCCCACAGGCTCCAGGTCACTGTCGGATTCACTGAACAGAAGGAAAAGCCACGGCACCAGCGACTCGTTGGAAATCTGTGGCAGGAGCCTCATTCCCCCCCCAACCCCGGCCAAACCAGCACTGCAGCCTGGGGTCATTGGGGGCGGGTAATCAACCCAGGAAGTGACATCAGAGCAACTTGGCGAAGCTGGCAGAGAACAGATGGATCAAGGCTTGTGGGGTCAAGGCCAAGGGCAGACCTTGCAGAAAGGTGAGCCCTGCGGTTTCCCGCTTGAGTCTGTCTCCAGCTGGTTTGAAAACTGGCTTGTAGGCTCCGTAGGAGGCTTGGGAGTGTGAGATACAGGCAGAGCTAAGCTCCCCCCTTCCTTTTAGAGATGGGGAGCTAAGGCCTTAGTAAAAGGCTGAAGTAGTGTGAGTCCAGACTAGTGGGGTGCAGAGCTGGCCAGAACACGGATGTGACTCAGCTCAGGGAGCCCCCCGGAGGGGCCGTTGGTGTTTCGGGGGCCAGGCTCTCTCCCACTTACCTGGGGGAGCAGAGGGGCTCTGTAGAGGAGTAGGGGCTCCGGAAGGCGGCCTCCCTCCTGGACCTCCGCAGAGGGTGGGCCCGGGGGCCCATCTGGGAGGAGGAGCGGCAGCCCAGACTGGAGCGGGCGGGGCCGGCTCCGGAAAGCCGGGCGCTCCTCTGGCTCAGGCTGCGAGCTGGGGGGCTACCGCCCTTCGGGGTCTCTCTCTTCCTCCTCCTGGCTTTCACCTGGGTCTCCACCAGCCACTTGGTGCCACTCTGGCAGGACTCCTGGATTCTCTGTGGGCACACGGAAGCGTGAGCACAGACAAGCTAAGGGTGGGCCAACCTCGTCTCCAAGCCATGCCTCCGACCCCTCCACCTACCAGCTGTCCCCCGCACACAAGCAGCTCTGTCTCAAGGGTGAGGAAGATGGCTGATGCCTCTGCAGGGCCCCAGCAGAGTGGCCTGCAGCAGAACCACTGGCTCTCAGAGCCTCCAGGTGCCTGAGACCAAGCCCTCTTTCGAACACAGACTGACCCAGAGACTCAAGAGCAAAGCCTGACCCCAGGACACTGTGAGATAACGTGTCCCCCTGCTCCTGGTCATACTGTTCCACCCTCCACACGAATGCTCAGAGATCCTTCTCAAGGACAGTTCTGATCAGGATGCTTAACTGCTCAGTGCCCTCCCACAGCTGCTCCTCACCCAGGGCCAAGCCCTAACTCTTGGGCCTTTCACTCCGCTGGGGGGCGGCCAGGATGGCTCTTCCTCAGCCAGACTGTCTCTGCCTTGGCCAACCAGAGTCCAGAGTCGTTAGAGCAAGTCCCGCGTTACCTCAGGAGAGTTCTGCAACCTTGGGCAGGCTACCTGGCTTCATCCCTGACCCCTGGGCATGAAGCAATCATAGGGTTCTTCTAGACAAGCACTAACATTTGGCTCAGAGACCTCTCTACAAAGGGTCCCCCAAACATCTTCCTTGTTCCATAGCTTCAGATGACCAGTCAGATCCTAAGGAGGGCCCCTCCTGTCCCCAGTCTTCTCCTTGGAGGTCTGTTCACTCCCGTGGCCCCTGTGCATTCTAGCTGACACCTCGAGGCCTCTCCAGCTCTAGGTTTGAAGACATATCCCCTTAGAACACATGTGTCAAACACAAGGCCCGCGGGCCAAATCCGTCCCGCCAGGCCTTGCAATGTGGCCCGCACCGCGCTGTCATCACTGCACTCCGCTGCGTTTCCATCACAATGACAGTTTATGACTGTTCAGTAAACCATTCGGCCCGCGATTTAGGCTGGATTTTAGATTTTGGCCCCTTCTCTGATTGAGTTCGACACCCCTACCTTAGAAGGTCCACCACAGGCACCTACCACCCAACGTAAGTGACATCTTCCTGCCCACCCATCTCCGCTGACCCCTAAGCTCCCAAATCTGCCTTCTGAGCAGCTCTGAGGCTGTTCCCGTCTCTGCAAGACCAGGCCCTCCGCACCCCTCATGGGAGAATCTGCTTCTACCCCCTTTCTAACTCCCCAAACAGCTAAAGATCAGGCTCTGATATGCTAATTAGACCTGGTGCCCGCCCTGCTGTAAACAAATTCTTCCCACTGGTTCTCAAGACTGCCAGTCTCTCTTGGGCGTGCCCAAACATCCTGGGCACCCGGAGCTCCATCTCACTGCTCCACCTTGCTCTCTCTTCTTCAGCTTTCGACCTCCCTCTGCTCTGGGTCTGGACTCACACAACTTCACCTGTAATATTCGTCCCCTTTCCTGGGTGAATTCCATGGATTCACCTCATCCGAGAAGCCTTCACTGGCTAAGCTAGTTTTTGGTGCCCTCCCATCATTAGCCACTGGCTTACAATTTCCATCACAAAAAAGCTCTATTGTCTTGTTTAGTGAGGCTGTTTCCTCCGTGACACAGTTTTCATTCACTCACACAACTATGGGTCCAGCACCTACTATATGTCAGGGACTCTTTGGGGTGCTGGGAACACAGCAACGGAACAAACCCAAGTCCTTGTCTTCATGGAGCCTATATTCTTGGGGGCTCCTGAGGGCAGCAGTTGACCTGGACATGGCCAGCAGCATTACCTGGGACACGGCACCCAAGGCGCTCTTCGCTGAGCGGGCTGCAGCCTGGAGATGCTGCTGCTCTGGCTCTGGGGTTTCCAGGCGTTTCCAGGAGGGGCCCGCCCCTAGGTTGAGGCTGACGGCTCTCAGGGGCAGCCTCCTTTGGAACTGTCTGCAGAGGGAGCCCAGGCCTCCGCTGGGGGCCTCCGGATGGCTGGCGGCAGGCTGCGGCCCGTCGCTCTCCTCCAGCGGCTGGTGGTCCTGGAGCGATCGGCGCATGGAGGAGCTCAGGCCGGGCCACCGAGAGGCCATCTGTCCGTTCTGTTCACAGCCCCTGGGAAGAGGTCACAAGGCAGGTCAGCAAGGCACCCTCCACCCCATTCCCACCCCATTCCCGGGCTCCACAGACCTGGGCTCAAGGGAAGAGATGGGATGGAGGCCCATGGTGTGTGTGTGTGTGTGTATGGCCCAGGCTGGGAACAACCGTGGGTGCGGGCAGGAGTATGCTTCCTGAAAGGGAGGGTGTGGTCAGCGATGCCCAGAAGTGGGCAGAGGCTGAACAAGGCTGGTCAGCACTTCCTGCGGTCGGTCCCTTGCTGAGTTTAAAACTGCAGTTGTTTTTTTTGTTGTTGTTTGTTTTTTTATCTTAGCCCCAGCTGGGGAGGGAGGCAGAGTCCTCCTTGAGCCTCAGCAAGGGGCCCCGCGACCGATCAGCGCTTCCCACAACCCGCCCTGACCCAGCGAGCTCCCACCCAGACCCTGGACGCCTGGCCAGAGCCCCCGATTTCCACCCTGCAACCCCCAGGTGCCCCACATGCATGCCGGTCCTAACTAGACACCCCCTCACCCCATCGCCTCTGGTCTCTTCTGAATAGAAGCCCCACCACACCCTGGCCTGCACTCACCCCAAAGCTCCCAGCCTGCGAGGTGCTCACCCCAGAGCTCCCAGCCTGCGAGGTGCTCACCCCAAAGCTCCCAGCATGCGAGGTGCTCACCCCAAAGCTCCCAGCCTGCGAGGTGCTCACCCCAAAGCTCCCACCCCTGCGAGATGCCGGGCTCAGATGCGCCTCGCCCACCCTGGCGATTTGAAACTCGGCGCGGATCCGGCCCCCCCCGCCCGTCCTCTCAGCTGATTGGCCCCGTCCCCGCCTCGCTGTCGCGCCGGGGTGATCCTATTGGCTCTTGGCTCTCGCGGCCGCGAGCCCGGCTTTCAGATTTGCCGGGTCGTCCCCATTCATCCCGGGACCCCCGCGGGCTGGTAGCCGCGTGCACCGGCCCCTTTGTGCGGGCAGGTCCCGCCCAGGCCCGGGGCAGCGGCCCCTCCTCCCGCCGCCGCCGCTGGGGGTTCCCGCTGGTCTTACAGGGCGGGGCGGGGCGGGGCGGCTCCCGGGCTCCCAGCTCCTTTCCCGTTCCGCCCAAAGGGTCCCGGGGTTTTGTCACCTAGAGTTCCGGTGGAGGTTTTGTTTCAAACGTCTCTCCCCTCCCGACCCTCTGGGCTTCTGTGTTCCCCTTACTCGCCGTCCACATTCTGCCCCCAAAACTCGTCCTGGAAAGGGGACCATGGGGCGTGCACCTCCTCTCCTCCTCCAGTTAAGCATCCTCCACCCCAGCTCACCGACCCCTTTCCCCTCCCCAGGTGAATGCCTCCCTCCCTGCCCTTAGCATCCAAACCAGCGAAAATATGGCATTTAGAAAGCCCTTCCTCCCTCCCTTTAAAGGGGACCCCAAAGCCGCACTGGCCACTCCACCCCTGGGGTTCCTAGCCGCCGTCTTCACCGGGCCTCCCTCCCACTCCTCACCCCTGTGGCCACTCTCTTGCTGGTGGGCTGTCCTTAGCCTCATCTTCACCTCTGGGTGATCACACCCACTTCTCTGGCATCAGTTATCTCTCTGCCCACCCCACCCACGCCCTGCCTGGCAATGGAATGGTGAGAACCATGAACACATATGGGGCACTTACTGTGCACCAAGCCCCTGTGTTCCTAGCACTTTCCGTTATGAACCCATTTGACCCTCCTTGCAGCCTGTGACCAGATGATCAGCCAGAGGAGAGGTGAGGCTGGTTCCCACTGTCACTCAGTTAGTATGCAGCAGGGTCCAGGATACAAGCCAGCCAAGGTGGGTGCCCCCCAATCGCCTCCCCACTTGCCCCACAGAGGGAGGTGACCAGTCAGGGGCCAGGGTCCATGCGCCTCACTGCCTCACCACACTGCCTCTTCTCACCCACACCTCTCCCAGACAGGAGTATCTCACCACCTCCTGGATCCCAACTCCTGGCCACTGAGGCACCTCAAACCACCCCTCCCCCCCAAACAAACATCACCCTGTCTCTCCCAGCCCCTCCTCCATCCCCATGTCCCTTCCCTAGTGTCTTTCCAAACACCTACTGGGGTCTGAGCGATTGAATGCTGTGCTGAAAATGGGCCATCACCCTGGCCGGTGTGGCTCAGTTGGTTGGGCGTTTTCCTAGGCACTGAAAGGTTGCTGGTTTGATTCCAGGTCAGAGCAAATGCCCAGGTTGTGGGCTTGATTCCTGGCAGGTGGTATGCAGGAGACAGTCAATCAATGTTCTGTTCTCATACCAATGTTTCTCACTCTCTCTAAAAATCCATTTAAAAAAATAACTATATATATAAAAGGCTAAGTGACCAACTGTCCGTCTGTCTGACCATCTGACCGACCAACCGGCAAGTACGTCTGACATGCACTGGCGATTGAAAAATAAAAGTGGACTCACATATAAGCTCTCACTATAAAGCTCTTTCTTCTAATTAATTTCCTTTCAATGTGCACAAATCTGTGTATCAGGCCACTAGTCCTATCTAATAAAGAGGAAATATGATAATTGTCCCTCACAGCATCACAAAGATGGCAGTGCCCACAGCCAGTAAGGAGGGAATATGCTGACTTCCATGCCCTCAAAGATTTCCACTCAATCCAGTCCCCTCAGTCCAGCTGGCATGCCTACCTCCAGAGTCCCCCAGTCCCCTCAGCCCCTCAGCCACCCAGAGCCAGTGTGAGGCACAGGCAAGTCTCAGATGGCTGCTGCCCAGGTAACCAGGGCTGGCCGCGGCTGGCACTGCTGGCTGTGGCAGCAGCAGAGGTGTGATAGGGGCATCACCTTCCCCTGATCGCCAGGTTGCCTCCCACCTCTGAGGTCTCCCAGACTGTGAGAGGGGGCAGGCAGGGCTGAGGGATTTTCATGCACTGGGCCTCTAATCCTATATAATAAAAGCCTAATATGCAAATCGACCAAATAGTGGAGTGATTGGCAGAACAACTGCAGAACAGGAGCTTCTCCCAGCCTGAAGACTCCATGCCAGCCAAGGTGGGTGCCCACCCAATTGCCTCCCCACTTGCCCCACAGAGGGAGGGAGGTGACCAGAGGTGGTGGCAGGGGGCAGGGCTGGTGAGTGGGTGGCATCAGGCCAGCCATGGTGGGTGCCAGCAGAGCCCCCACCTCCCCCCGCTCATTGCCCCACTGGTCACCCCACAGATCGGCCCTGATCGCCAGCCAGGTCTAGGGACCCTATGCATACATGAATTTCATGCACTGGGCCTCTAGTATGTATAAAGAGCCACAAAGTCAGTGAAACAGATGCATCCTTACCTTAATGGGCCTCACATCTAGTATTTGGGGTGTGATGGACATTAACGAATCAAGTTATCAACAATCAATTAATCAAACAAAATTATGACAAAAATACATCATTTAAAGCTGAGACCTAGAGAACGAGTCAACCAAGCAAAGAATGTGTGTGTTTGAGTGTGTGTGTCTCTGTGAGTGTCTTCTTGTACAGGGAATACCATGTTCAAGGGGACCAGTATGTAGCTCACACACACACACACACACACACACATGCAACTGAAACTTTTCCTGAAGCAATACTTGCCATTGTGCTGTCCTTTGATATTTTATCTATTTCATTGTTGAAAAGGCCGGTGACAGCTCACCACAGTGATTTTACAACGGTCACTGCTCCTGCCCGCCCATTTGCCTTGTTCCCTGGTTGAGTTGTCTCCCGGCCTCAGAAGTATTTGTTCCCAAGCCTGTTTATGCCACTAGTGTTTGTCATTGTAATCGGGGAATTTAATTCATGTCCTTTATCAATGAAACTTGAGGGGAGAAAAGCAGGAGTTATTATTTTTAGGAAAACTAAGCGGAAAGTGTGGGAAAGACTAGTGGATGTGAAACACTTTGACACAAGTGTCTCCAATGGGATCTTCTGTGGGGTCTGAGCACTGGGGAGCCGGGAGGGATCTGACTTGCTGCCTCAGTCTGGGCTCCTGGGCCCAGACCAGTTGGCCCAAGCTGGGCTTCCTCTAGGCCAGCCGCTATGGGAGACTTTTAAGGGTGCTGGGTTTCGGGGTTCCATTCACTGCTCAAGGGAGGCCTCTCAGCTTCCAGGAGAGGGAGGCAGGAGAGTGCTTTCCCCGGTTCAGTTAAGAAGATGGAGTTAGGGATAGAGACAAAGGTCAGCCCTTTGCACGTGGCTCTGCCTGGCTCCTCCGGTGGCATTCCCATCTCTCCCCATGGCAGGTTCGGTCCCATCTCCAGGAAACACGTCAGCCAGGGGACAGGAGAGGAAGGCTTTGTGGTTCCAGGAAAGAATCCTCAGCACCCTCGGGACCTTGGCAGGATCAGGTTAAAAAAAAAAAAAAAAAGAATTTGCCACAAGGTGGCGCCAAACACCAACTCTTCACAGGATTTTCCACTTTAGATCAGAAAGGGGATCCATAATACCCTGAATAAGCTCTGCGGATTCCATCCCCATAAAGGAGGGAGGAGCCCGCTGCGCCCAGCCAGACATTGTAGGAGAGGCTGGAATAGGGCTGGGGTGGGCCCCTCAAATTTATCCAAGCCTGCCCTGCTTTTCAGACCCTGTTTCACACCAAACTAGAAACCTGCCAATCCTCTCCCTCCACAACGTCACTTTCTCTGTGGGTGGACAGAGTTTGGGAAGAAGAGGAGGGAGAAATGGGGAAGAGGGAAAGCAGGGACCACACAGTCCTCAGGGCCCGGCCTGGGCTTCAAAGAGACTAAGAATCTGACACCAGGGCCAACGCCGGGGACCAGGCAGGGTGAGGGGCTTTGGGTCAGCCTCTCCTTTACTTCTTGGTGACCTGAGTCCTTGCTGCTGCCAGCTCCCTCAATGCTGTCTTCCTCCTCCTCCTCCTCCTCTTCTTCTTCTTCTTCTTCTTCTTCTTCTTCTTCTTCTTCTTCTCCTCTCTTCTTCTTCTTCTTTTCTTCTTCTTCTTCTTCTTCTTCTTCTTCTTCTTCTTCTCCTCCCTCCTCCTCCTCCTCCTCCTCCTCTTCCTCCTCCTCATCCTCCTTCTCCTCCTCCTCCTCCTCCTCCTCCTTCTCCTCCTCCTCCTCCTCCTTCTTCTTCTTTTTAAATTTCTTTATTGATTAAGGTATCACATAATTGTCCTCATCCCCCCATTCCCATCCCAACCCCTCCCCATGCATTCTCCGAACCCCCTGTTGTCCGTGACCACTGGTTAGGCTTATATGCATGCATACAAGTCCTTTAAGAAGGCTCCAGCGCACTTCCTCTCTTCTTGACCTGGGACAAAACCAAAGCTGGTGCAATAACGTCTGTCAGGCTGGAGCTCCATCCCGGAGAGGAGCAGGGGATGGATGGATGGGGCAGAAGGCTCAGTTGCCAGGGAGTGGCCTGGAGGAGCGGCCTGGAGCCAGCATGGGGCACAACCCCGCCCCACTCTTCTAATTCGCACCCCCCACCCCCAGGGCAAATCCCCGTTTTAGCCGGAGCTCCTTCCTCGGAGGGATTATCTCAGCCTGGGCTGGACAGCTCCCACAGCCATGGATGCCGCTCTGCTCCTGAACGTGGAAGGCGTCAAGAAGACCATCCTGCACGGGGGCGTGGGGGAGCTCCCAAACTTCATCACCGGGTCTCGGGTGAGTGGCCTCCCCCGCCCCCCTGCCCTTCACCCCTAACCCCCTCCTTGGCAGGGCAGCCCCTGGAGCCCGCTGGCTGCAGGGCACTGCACTCAGGTTTCAGCTTTGCCAAAAATGGCCGGGCAGGCCCTTCCCGGATTGTCAGCCCTGAGGCATCTGAGCTGGTGTCTGTTCACTGGGCATTGTGGGTACTTTGCAAACTAAACCACGGCATGGGATGGGGGAGGGGCTTTGGG